ATTCGGTTTAGACCATCAGCCTGTACACAGGCAGGGCAATGATCATGGAGGTCATTTATAAATGAAGGCAAGTCCAGGCAGTCACTGACTCACCTAGGGGCATGCATACCTGTAGTGATAGGAAGGCCAGAACCAGAAGCCACATCTTCTTCTCAAGGAGTCCTCACACCTGTCTCTAGCTGGCTTCATGGGTTGGTTAGGATTAGGTCAAGCTGTGAGTAGTGGAGACCCAACCACCGAGTTAAGAAGGTAGCCCACCTCCACTGCTACAATCAAGAAGCACCAAAGGGGCAGTTCAAGGCTAATAGGATGGATCAATGGTCATCAGGAATTCAGAGTCCTCTTTTTACTCCAGTGTCCTAATCTGGTCCCATCTTCATAGTCCCAAATGGCTGCTGAGTTCAAGCCATTGCATTAGCACTCCAGGCAGCAAAGAAGAAAGGAAGGGAGAAGAGTTCATTTCTCCCCTTTTTAAGGGGACTTCCTGGAAGTTCCACATAACACTTCCACTTGAATCTCATTGGCAAGACTTAGTTGCAAGGGAAGCTGGGAAATGTAGTCTTTTGTTTGGGGATGCAATGTGGGCAGCTAAAATCATGATTCTGTTAGTAGGGAGAAGAGGAGGAGGAATACTGAGGTAGGCAACTGGCAGTCTTGGCCACATTCCCTGCTCCCCTTCCTTTTGGTGTTACCATCATCCACTCATCAACATTCCAACACCTTCTGGGAAAGAGGTACCAAAGAAAATAAGCTCGGGCCCTCAAGACATTCAGAGTCATGGCTTCCAAGGCCTTCAGGACCTGGTCCCTAGATGGTCCCCCATGCCCCCTCCCACTTCCTCCTGCAGCAGGTCACCCTTCCTCTGTGTGTCCTTCAGCCTTGATCATGCTCCAGCTTTCTCCTTCCAGAAAAGCCTTTCCTTCAATCCTGCCTTCCCCGATGGCTACCAAGGTCTCTCTCCCCTCCCTGCAGGCAGGCCTGCAGCTCGCTGCAAAGTTGGGAATCACATGACACTTCTCTCACAGTTTTCAAGTTATCAGCTCTGTGTTTCCAGGGGAAATATCTCCAAATTTAACCTGATGGGGCAAACTGCGAATCTGAAAAAAAGCACAACCTATACATTAGAGAGGGTCCCAAACATCTGGAAACACAGGGAAAATACTGAGCTGGTGATTTGAAAACTAACCAGTTATTCGTAACGAACACATTGTGCAGAAACCTTTCTCTCCTGGCTTTGCAGACACCACACACGTGCGCGCGCACACACACACACCCCCAGACACACACCCCCAGACACACACACACACACACACACACACACACACACACACACACACACGCTTGAAATAACAATGCCAACAGCCCCGTTTCTACTCCCTCGCACCCTCCCTGCTCTGCCGCTCACCACAGCCTGGCCTCTGTCCCCGCCTTGTTGCTCACACTGTCGCCAGGCGCACTGGCCAACCTACAGCCACACAGACCCAGAGCTCCTTCCCACCTCCCCTTCCCCTGTGCAGGAATGAAGGGGGCTGACCCCTGTCTCTGCCTCTGGCCAGCTGGGGGCCTCAGATGGGGCTATTAACCCCTCCGTGCCTCTGTTTCCTTATCTGAGAAGGGGATAATGACAGCCGGTGGAGGTAACAGGGGTAAAGCAGGTGGGAGAGTCACGCTGCCTTGCTGTCTCCGGATCTTCCTACCCTGGATGCTCTCTCCCAGGCTTGGCTTCCGGGGCTCATCTCCCTGTCTAAAGCTCACGAGAAGGTCCAATCACCACCCCCTTGCTATCCCCTGAGGCTGTTCCCTGCACAGATCCCTGGGGTGGGTCTGGGGTCGAGCCCAGGAATCTGCATTTTAAAAGGCCACTCATGTGTGCTCACATTGGAGAACCCGTCCTCAGTTCCCTTTTCCCTCCAGAATCTCTCCATCATCCCCCGGCTTCACCCCGACACACAGGCAACCCACATGGGACAGTGCATGGCAAGGAGCACCTGTGTCATTGACTCCGGTGTCAAGGCCAGAGATCTGGAAATCGTCAGACAGAGTCATTCAGACAGCTGTGTTTCCCTGGAGACCATCATCTGGACACTGTCTGGGGAGAGGTAACCCTTCCTAAAGCACCCAGGAATTTTTGTTTGTACTCTTCGGTTTCTGAAATACGTTGTGTGTCTGCCTCGTGAAGCAGAGTATGTAAACACAGCTGAACCTTTCCTTAGCGACTAAGGTCATCGTTGTGAACAAAACGTCCTAATGTGCGGCGTTCCCCGTGTGGGGCTGTGACCACCACGCAGTGAGTTCTCAGGCTGGAGCAGCTTTATAAGGAACACCTCTCTAGCTCTAAGGTATTTCAATATATCATCAGCTTGAAACCAATAAAGAGGTGTTAGGGTGTGGCTAGTTAAAGATTAAAGGGGATCTGTGTAAGGAGATCCTGGGGCTCCTCTGTGGACAGAGAACCCAGATTGCAGCTGATGCTCCCTGAAACATCTTTCAGATACCCAGGGGCGGGCTCCTTCTTCGGGATTTGCTCACGACTATGGTCCAGAGAGGGGCTGTCTAGCGGCAGTCCACGTGGAGTCCCCGTTGTGGGCTTTCCCAAGCTCTCTATCCACCTACATTCGCCCACGCGTGCAGGCATCCAACCAATTCTTTAAACTCAAACTATAAATCTACTGACTTCAGGCATGTGCAGTGGAACTGTGAGCAGTAACTCCAGGAGGAGCTCCTCATCTCCCCCTAGTGGTGGAAGGGAGTGTGTAAGAAAGGTGATGGGAGCCAAAAACAACACTGTACCAAAAACCCCAGAGTGTGGTCAATGGTTTAAGTTCAATCCTTAGGTCACCCTCTACCAAATTTTCCAAGATGACCCCATGTTCCACAAATTCCAGAACCGAGTTTTAAGTCCCCCTAGGAAAGCGCCTGTGTTTAAGATAAACGTGACCATCTAGGGCTTGGGCGTATTTAGAATCTCCAGGAAAAGTCAACAGCCCCCGTCCTTGGGTTTCTGAGGCGTCCAGAAGGGAAGGGAGGGAAGGTCTGGGGTTGGAGGACTGGATATGGTGTCGGGTGGCTGCCAGGCATGCTGGGAACCAGGAACACCCTAGATCCACAGAAAGGGAAAGAACCATCCTAGATCAGGGCGGGCCTGTGATGGGTCATGCTGACCAGGGCTCCCTAACAAAGGCAGGATGGTTGGCCCTGGGCCCAGGGTCAGTTCTGAGCCCAACCCGAGCAAGTCAGGGAAGCATTGGGGTTGGAGGGCAGAAATCCTAGGGCATTCCACTTCCGTTCTGGTGTCCGTTCACGTGCTACAAGACCCAGGCCACACTGACTGGGGATTAGCAGCTTGCTGGGTCAACCTACAGATGTAAACACTGCCTTCTAAATTGTGATTAAGAGCATCAGAAATCACAGTAAAATCTGAGAGAGAATTCCTTGTTCATCTCATTTAAAATTCAAAGTTCCACCAACCTGGGCCAGAGTGAGGAGGACATGTTAATAATATACAGTTGGTCCTTCAACAACGCAGAGGTTAGGGGTGCCAAAGCCTTGTGCAGTCAAAAATCCACATGTTTGGGGGGCACCTGGGTGGCTCAGTGGGTTAAGCCTCTGCCTTCGGCTCAGGTCATGATCTCAGGGTCCTAGGATCGAGCCCCGCATCAGGCTCTCTGTTTGGCGGGGAGCCTGATTCTCCTTTTCTCTCTGCCTGCCTCTCTGTCTACTTCTGATTTCTCTAATAAATAAAACCTTTAAAAAAAAAAATCCACGTGTTTTAACTTTTGGCTCCCCAAAACTTAACAGCCCATTGTTGACTGGAAGTCTTACCAACTAACATAAAGCTGATAAACATGTATTTGGTATATGTATTATGTGATATATTTTTAAAGTAAGCTAGAGAAGAAATGTTAAGAAAATCATAAGGAAAACACAGTACAGTGCTGTACTGTCTTTATGGAAAAAGGCCTGCTTATGAGTAGAGCCCTGCAGTTCAAACCCAGGGGGGTCAAGAGCCAATTGGACACTCATGCAAATTTCCCACGTGGCCACCAGCAAAGGGACCGGAGCAAACACTGCACCGTATGTTCGGCTTTGGTTCCTGCTTCCTCATCCCCCACCCACTCTGGTATCAACAGAAATGAGACAACATGAATCTTTTAATAGAGATCTCAGGCTGTTAGGTGCTGAGTCAAAAAATCTTAGTATCACTTCTCTCATATCTGGAAGTCTCCTTAGCTCAACTCCCCACTCATCTCTCCTCAGCAAATCCCAACAGGCAAACGCGGGGAGAGGACAGTATCCCTGCTCGTCTCACTCTCTCACGACAGGGCTCAGTGACAGGAGTTCTTCCGAGACTCCCACCCAGGGTGGCCAGTGGGTGTCACCCTGTAGCCCGCCCCACGAGGAGCCTCCTGGCTCAGCGGAGACGCCAGTGCTCCCTGGGGAAGTGAGCGTGCAGCTTCGCTCCACCCCAACAATGAAAATATGGCGGAAAGTGGGCAAGAGAAGAGACTGCGGGAGGGCAGCAGAGGAGAGGGCTGGGAAGGATTGGGGAGGACAGGCGGCTGAGGCTTCCACCCCTAGAGCAGGTGCCACTTCTCCTGAGGCCCAGTCCTGCATCAAGAGCACCTGTGACGTGGCACCCGGAGCTGGGACGGGCTGGGAGGGGCGCGGGCTTGCAAAACTGCCCCCCTCACAACATGGCGGGTGTGTGTCTGTGTGAGACCAAAAGACTGGCTAATTCCAGAGACAGACACTCCCTTTTTTACAAAGGTATTTTATTTTAATAAACAAAATACAGGTTCTTTTAAGAGCATAAAAAAGTTCATATTATTTTTTTTTAAAGATTTTATTTATTTGTTTGACAGAGAGATCGCAAGTAGGCAGAGAGGCAGGCAGAGAGTGGGGGGATGGGGGGGAGAAGCAGGCTCTCCACTAAGCAGAGAGCCTGATGCGGGGCTCGATCCCAGGACCCTGAGACCATGACCTGAGCTGAAGGCAGAAGCTTAACCCATTGAGCCACCCAGGTGCCCCAAAAGTTCATATAATTTTAAGTTAACCCTACAGGTTGGGAGTTTATCCTCTGACACATCATTCAGTAATTGTCTCCTCTATCTTCTCAGCCACTCAGAAGAATCCACTCAGGCTGACATGTAAACGCAAATTCTAGAAAGGAAGACCAAAAGGACAAGTAAGAAACATCTCAATGTTTTACTTGCTTGGCATTACCCCTCATGCTCGGCCATTTCAACTTAGCCAGCAGAAACTACTGAAGTCTATCTATTAAAGAATGTATTTTCACAAACTCCTGATTTTCTGCCCATCTAAAAATCCCCCTTCTTTAAAACTGGGCTCGATAATACCTTAATAAAAAGATAAAAAATTTAAAAAAATAATAAATAAAAATAAATTTTAAAAAAGATGACATGGGTGGAACTAGAGGGTATTACTACATTAATAAATGAATAAAAATTAAAAAAAAATAAATTAAAAAAATAAAACCAGGCTTGAGGCTGGAGGGAAAATGAAGGGTCAGGTCTGCTGCCACCCCCGCCCCCAACCCCCCCCCCCCCCCCGCTTTCCCTGGAGCCCTTGGTGGATGCCTATGGGAGGGGAGAGGCATTTACACCCTACGCCCCACCTTTCCCTTCCTCTTCTCGGTCTCACACACAAAAGGAGGACTCTGCCCCAGGCAGAACTTCAACCTGCAACATTTCAGAGGCCCGGCCTCCCTTGCCCATTTTAATTTTGCTCTCCCTTGTGCCTGAGAGTTTCAGTTTCAGTCAGTAAAACACCTTTTCCCAAAAAAGGAAGGGTCCCTTACAGAAACTTCTTTGGCCTGGTAGAAGCCTCCAGCCTGCCAAGGACCCACATGGTGCCAACAGAGGAAGGGGTTCCCGGCCCGGGGTAAGGACCGGACAGCCACAGTGGAATTCCCTACGTTTGGGAAGGTGACGGGTCAGGGTGAGGCCCAGGGGGCACAGGTCTGACCTGGGTTCAGTTCTGACCCTGCTCTTCACTAAGTAGTGTGTCAGCCCTTTCTCCGTCTGAACAGGCCTCACGGAGCCATCAGAAGGGGGACTGCCACCGTCTAAGAAACACTGAGCAAACGCTAGCCCCCACAAGGGTCGTTCAGCAGAAGTGTTGCTACGAGTACTCGTTAGTGTGCTGTTCCCCTCCACACACGTAGAAATCCTCCACAGGAATCCCACTGACAGAAGTGTGGCACCTCAGGGCAGAGAGGGCTTTTGGAGATCGCTGGCCCACTGCCTCCCAGAGCGACGGCAGACGGGGCCGCCTCAGGGTCCCCTCACTAGGACGTTTGCACCCAGCCAGGGGCTGGGGCCTGGAAATCTGCACTTCTACCAATTCTGATCATCAGCCAAGTGTGGGGATCACTGATCAAGAAAGCCGTGGCACCATATTTGAATCTTCTAATTTTTAGAGAAGCACAGAATTCAACCTGATCCATGAAGAAATGAGATCAGTGCGGGAGAATGACCGTCATAAGCTCAACCTGTAATGGGGACTTAAGCTCAGCAAACGTGTTCTGGGCGCCTCCTGTGGGTCCACGACGATGAGTAAGACTTCGTGCCCGGTGAAGACGCTACAAGGAAGGGCCCTCTGGGACTAACTGGCAAAGGCCGAGGGGCATGAAAGTCTATCATGGCTGAAGAATGGCCTGCGGAGTGTGGGGAGGGGGCGCTAGAGGGGACAGATGGGACCTGGGTGAAGGACACATGTGGGGGTTATGATGCCATTCCTACAACTCAGACTTTATCCTGAAGATACAGCAGGATTTCTTAATCTTAGGTGAGGGCATGGGTTTCAAAAGACCTGTGGCCACCACACCTCCTCCGCACCCCCGTCTGTCTGCCATTTTCTGTACAATGGTGGGTGATTCTAACACGCATCCTTCTGCTGGGAGAAGGTCCCAGCTTTCACGAAATTCTCAGGAGTCCTGTGACCCAGGAACGGTTAAGCCCCAGGGTCCCTGACTAAGGGTGCCACAGCACAGGCTTCAGGCAGGTGTGAAGAATGAGCCATGTGGCCTGGCTGGTCTGCACCAGGGCACAGGGTCAGGGTCTGCACGCCTCGCCTTCCACAGACGTTCTGCTTCAGACACCAGAGGAGCCCGAGGGCTGAGGGGTTCTCCGACTGCCTCATCTGGGGACCAGTCCAGCCCACCGGACACTCTGTACGCGCCAAGTCCTCGTACCTCTGACTTCCCTTTAGTTCTCCTTCTTCTCCAACTGCTTCTTTTTCTCAGCTTCCAGTTGTTGCTGTTTTGCTTCCAACCTTTTCCTCTGGTATATTTTGACTCCGGCAAATGCCAGGCAGAGAATTAAGGTTTTGGCTGCCAAGATATACAGTAGCAGGGGCACGTGTTCCAGAACCTTAGAGAAGAAAACAAGCATTCTAATGTTCCATGATTGATAAGAAAGGTTTCTTTCGAATTCCTTCATCTAACAAACCTTTACTGTCCACCTCTTATGTAACCGGCACTAGGCGAGGTGCTGGGGCCGCACCAGTGTCCAGGAGAGGCAAGGTCCCCGGCCCTGCACCAGCCAGCCGAGGTCCACCTCTGCCCCCACTGTGCCCCCCATCACTCCCCCACTGTGCCCCCCATCACTCCCCCACTGCTGGCTACACAAGAGAACTGCCCATGGACTGCGGACATAACTCTGGTCTCTCACAACCGGACCACACACTTTGCCAGTCCCCCAGGCCCTCTACTCTTGAGGCAGCGCCACGGTCCAGGAGCCAGAGCTGGGGGCCTGGGTGACAGCTCTGCTCTGCCCCCGGCTGACCACGTGACCGGTGCCAGTCACGTGACTTTCTGAGCTTCTGCCTCTTTAGGGGAGGCTGGACCAGACCTTCCTTCTGGATTCTCCAACTTTGGCATGCTACGCTTTCCTCTCGGTTGTGGCTACTCATTAGTTCCGGCACTTGAAGGTAAAGTAAACATAAAAAGAGAATAAAATTCAAAATACAAGGGGCACCGGGGGGGCTCAGTCGGTTAGGCATCTGCCTCTTGATCTCAGCTCAGGTCTTGATCTCAGGGTCACAAGTTCAAGCCCCATGCTGGGCTCCAAACAGGCATGGAGCCTACTTACAAAAAAAAAAAAAAAAATCAGAACATGAAAACTTAGCTACCTATTAACTGTTCCTGTAATTTTCTGTAGGAGGGAAGCTTTAGCCCAAGGGCTAAAATGATACCCGGGGAACAGCTATGGATTTGAATTACTGTCTGTACTAGTAAGGTACACTATTACGATAATCTCGGTAGCACAATAGCATCTCTGGGCAAACACGATACTCATTTCAGAAACATGAGTAATGGGACCTGAATAACAATGATGAGCTTTTAGTGTGATTAAAAATTCCTTCCCAAATAAAGGCACGCTTTTTCTGAGTGATCACCATTCTAGAGGACTAGGCAGGATTTAGTCCAATGTAATCATTAAATCTCCAAACATCACTTATGCAATTCCTATACAATGACTTCTGGCACGGGAAGAACGTTTGTCTCTGCTTGTAACACTTTAACTCGACTGGTCAGAGGAAACTTCAGCTGGGAACAACATGCTCACAGAGCTTGAGGCCCAGGGGGGAATTTCACAGATGACTTAGTCCCCACGTGGTTTCACAAACAAGGAAAGCGAAGCTCCTCGTGGCGGGGAGAGGCTAACCCGAGTCCCACAGTGAATAATTCATGAGGAGGCCAGACTCAGAATGAAACGTTCTAACCTCTACGCCAGCCTTCTTCCCCCTGCATCCTGATTTCCAAGGAAACGGGAATTAACACAATCATAAATTACGTGCATAGGTGTTCGTCCAGTTTTATTAAAATTCTCGATGACTGAGGCCTACACGCAGATTTCACACACAGAAGGCCGAGCATCAGTTAGGCCCACTGGGAGCTTACTGCTCTCAACGACTCCCCTACATTTTCCCCGGGATTCTCATCGGATCCCCGGGAGACAGGGACACTGTCCTAATTGTGTCGCTGAGAAAGTGTAAAGTCTGGAAAAGTGCTCTGACGGCTCCAAAGCCTGAACTCTCTTCATCATTACACAACGCTGTAACATCTCCCACATTCTCCCCAGCCCTCCCCAGTTTTACACCTAAATTACACAGAGAAATGAAGCCTTGGCTACTGAAATTTCCCAAAGGCAACCGGAATCACTACCTCTGAAATCATTTAGCCAGTTACTTAAGGATATTTGAGGAAGGTTGCCATGTGATACAGCAGGAATGTACCAGAGAGTAAAAGGAGGAACCCGAACACTTAAAACGTCTGAATTTAACTAAAACGGATAAGATTACAAGAACATGGTGTAACTGGATAATAGTTTCCAACCGCAAAGTCATTTTAAGAGAAAAAAATAAATATAACATAAATGCTTCAGAAAGATCACTCTAGTAAGAGCATGAAAGATTAAAAAAATTGCAGCAGTGAAACTTTTTTCCTGACAAATATAAGCGGCTTAGAGCACAGACCTTCCGGGGCCCCTGGGTGGCTCAGTCAGTTAAGCGTCTGAGTCCTGATTTCAGCTCAGGTTGTGATCTCCGGGCTGTGGGATCGAGGCCCCAGCTGGGCTCTGTGCTGGGTGTGGCGCCTGCTTGGGATTCTCTCCCTCCCTCCCTCTCCCTCTGCCTGCCCCCACCCCCATGTTCATGCTCTCTAAAAAAAAAAAACTTAAAAAAGAAAATCAATAAAATAAAAGCCTTCTCTGTGCCCTGCCTTCAACCTGTGTTAACCCCAGACCTAAGTGGTCAGGAACTGGGGGTGGGCCCACAGCTTGTGTTTTAACAAGTCCTCAGCTGGTTCTGATGCACTGAGGTGTGAGAGCCACTGCCTTGGAGCATTACGCATGACGCTCTGAGTCCTGCTGACGTGGCCCTTTGCACCAGTGACTGTATTGGATTGTGGTCACCGCAGACAGGACAAGCCCTGCGATAAATCCCACCGCATGCTGCTTCCCACTCTTCCCCTCAGACCCCCTCACCGCCTCGGCTTTCCTTCCCAGCTGTTCCGCTATGAGCTCTGGAACCCCAGTGTATGCTCAACAAACACTCCTACATTTTCGACCCCTTCAAGAAACCCTCACTCTGCCTCTTTTTTTCTTTTTTTTTTTTTTGTTTTTAATTTTATTTGACAGAGTGAGAGAGAGATCACAAGCAGGCTGAGAGAGAGGGGAAACAGGCTCCCCGCTGAGCAGAGAGACCGACGTGGGACTCGATCCCAGGACCCTGAGATCACGACCTGAGCTGAAGGCAGAGGCTTAACCCACCGAGCCAACCAGGCGCTCCTCTCACTCTGCCCGTTAACTTCAACCAGGCTTGTCCTGGAGAATAGTCCCCATGGTCTCCCTGCGTGGCCCCGAAACCCCTCCCTAAAGTTGCTGAGGAAGGAGAGGGGTTCTCTATCTCCCAGTTCCCGGGTCCTGCTTCCAGATCTTTCCAGTAAGCCTTGCAATGGAAAGCTGGTGGATGTTCTGAACTAGGAAATGTTCATAATTGAAAAAAAAAAATACATACAATGAGATTGTTAAGTTTGAAAATATATACACTACACTTACACGTATGGAAAAAAGACTGGAAGAAAACACACCAAAATTGTTAATAGTAACTATCTCTGGAGGGTGAGATAACACAATTTTTACCGGATTTTAAACTTCCAAAGAATTGACGATAAAATATATTTTGGTGGCTGTTCTCTTAACCTTTACCGCACCCCATGCACTTTAGGGATTTAACATGATGACTCTCCTTTCCCTCTGTGAGCCCTGCTGACGGCTGCCCACAGCCCACTAAAGGCCCACAGCTTGCAGGCTACTGTGTGACTGCCCTTGGACCTGTGCTCCTGGAGGCTGAGTCTATGCTACAGAGGACAGCTGGGATTATTCCCCAACTAGTTGAAGTTGTACTTGATGTTACAATGGATAATTTATCTAAATACAACACTTACGAAATATGGCTATATCACACAAGAAAGAAATTGTTTCCATGAAAACTAAATTGAATGCTTTCAATGCATTTTCAAATTTGGGTTGGAAAAAAAAAGTGCTGTTGGCAACACAAATGTAAAAGATTAGGAAGAACATAAAAATCTGGAAATATCTTGTATGTAGACTGTTTCCTAAAATATGAACCCACTTTAAAGAAACCAAAATGTGAAACTGTAGGAAAACTTTAAAGGCATGATTTTTGCAAGACGAGTGAGGCAGATGTGAAGTCTGTATACCCACTCAAAGAAAGGGCCTCGCCTTCCCCCAAAAGTCTGGGGAATAAATGTACTTTTATATGTTTGAACTTAAACTATTAAGTATTATTAGGATTCCTGCTTTAATCCACTTTTTTCTTTTTAATCAACCTGTATCTACAGAACTGTTATTCTGAATTTTTATAAGGAGGAGAAAGAAGAAACCCAAGCCATAATGGTGAACACTGTTCTCACCTTCCAGTTCATGTTGGGCGGATTCACTCTGGGTCAATGCAGGCCCCCTCGGACAAGCACATGAGGAGAGGAGCTCGAAGGGCAGGTCTTGCTGTTCTGGTGGGAAAGAGAAGAACAGGGTCACTCACAGTTTTCTGGAGCAGATCACCATAGGAAGACCTCTTTGATGGAGAGAAAGGGTGCATTGAGCAAAAAGAGTGAGGGCTGCAGACAGGGGGGGTCAGTGTCCCTAACAATGTAACCCAGAGCCTGATGGAAAGCAGATGGCCTGGCTTAGGGCTGACGCAGGCCTGGGTCTTGGTGAGCAGAAACGTCACCCTGGCTGTTCTCTGCCAGGGGTGGGAGCACAGCCCGGGAGCAGAGGTGGCAGTGCTGCTCCTAAGGGGACACACTCTCCCATCCCTTTCATCTGTAGATGTAACAGTGCAAGTCCAAAGCTACTTCTCCCACCTCCTGGCCTGAGCAAGAGCTGGGTTGTGGATGAGTGTCTTTCTGTTTTTCAGGTCCTCTGAGTGTTAATGAAGCAAATCTTGGTTCTTAAAAAATATCTGAAGGGGAGTAAATGATAGGGGGAAAAATTGTCCTTTGAAAGCAATTCCTATCTAGAATTTCATCTCAGCTGTGAGGGAGACCTAGGGGAAGGCAAAGCAGGGAGTGGCAGGTCAGGGACACGGCCGGGGCACAGTATGTGCTCCAAGCCTGTATGTCACTATTTTTAGAATATGGCACATACCCCCAGAGTCAGAAGACTTGAGCTCTGCATGAAGAACCTACACACTCTGGTAAGTGACTTCCCTCTCAGGGCCTTGGTCCCATCTGTCAATGAAGAAAGGGGGTGTCAACTAGATGGGCCGCAGGGCCCTGATTTTTTCTGAAATTGGGCAGCTTAGAGCAGAATCATAGCTTCACTTCACAGTGCGGGGCGGCACGAGAGCACATCAGCTGCATAAATTCATGCAGCCCTAGGAGGTAGAGGTTATGGTTCCATTTCAGAAACGAGGAGACAAAGTTAACGGAACGCGTCCAGGGTCAGACGGGGACTGGGATTTGAACCCATCTGGTGTGACTCTCGAGTCTTATCCTGATGCGGGCAGAAAGCCTTGCATTCAAAAACCATGGAGATGCTTGTCTTGACACGTACTTAGAATTAAGAAAAGCACAAGACAATGTCCCAGGCTTTTAGAATGGGGATAATAAAATGGCTTCAGAGAAAAGTGTTTTACTAAAACTTTTACTTACAAAAACATCTAAATATAGAAAATTCAGACCTCATCTAGTCAAGGTCATAGTATCGGGAAAACAGGCTGGTGGTTGGCACAAGATAACCCAGTTTTCCCCATGACTTCTTTCAAAGCCAGGTAAGTCAATGATAGGAACGTACACCATAAATCCGTTTAAATGCGATAACGGTGATTCTCTTCATGGATTAAGGGCCTGTTTATCTTCTAGTAGCAGCAGATTCTGACTTGCACCACAGAAATATGTTCCTAACAGGTTATAACCTACTGCTAGAATTTTCACTTTCAGGAATCTTGGATAATCTCGGGGATTAGTCATATTGTAGCTTACAACGTTTAAGGTTATGTAAATTTTATTTTTACAACTCTTGCTCTAATTGAGTTGGGTACAAATATCGTAGGTGAGTTTAGCTGTTCCTAATTTTCTGAGGTCCTATTAATGTAATTAATATATTAATTACATGAATTAATCTAAGAATTAATGGCTTAACATAAGACACATTAATGGATTAATGTAAGATATTGATTCCCAAGGTCAAGGATGACAAATTGGTCCAAAAAGCTTATAGGAGGAAATAAATTAAAAAGAACACCCAGTGGGGCGCCTGGCTGGCTCAGTCAGTAAAGCATGCCACTCTTGATCTTGAGGTGGTGAGTTCGAGCTCTGCATTGGGTGTGCAGATTATTTAAGGAAATTAAAAAAAAAAAAAAGTGTTGACTTAATAAACAACAACAACAACACAGGACTACGATTATGACTGGGGTGACCTTGGACAAGTCACTTGGCCTCTCTGAGCCTCAGGTCCCTCATTTGTGAATTCTTCGGAGGCCCGATTGTAAACACAAAGCAGAGCACCATGCTCAACACACGGAAAACATTAAATAAATACCGTTACTGTCATGACAAATCTCTCTCTTTCTGCTAATGGACATGCCAAGCTTAAGAACCATAAACAAGAGGCCAAGCAGGGCAAAATGCCGTCGATGCAAGACAGCAGGGACCAAGGTGGCACCCCTGGCAGGCACCCCTGGCAGGCACGTGACCTGGGGTAAGCCATTCACCTCCCTGAACCAAAATGTTCTCACTTTAAAAACCAGAATCCAAAGAACAACTCTGCAACTCTGGCATCCGTAAGTCAAATGGGATGCCACAGAATCGGACTATGAAAATTTACTGGCAGTCTCCACAACTTCATACAGAGAGGGAGAACATTCAAGCTCTTTAGAAAGAAACATATTTAAAGTCAACCTGCAAACAAGGTAGTGGAAGGGAGGCAGGGAGAGAATGGGAGACAAGGCAGTTGATCAATCCTGCTCGTTCCTACCTGCTGCCTCCAAATGCTAAGTTTCCCCACCCCCCTGCACTAACATACTCCAACTCAGCCATTTCTGTAGCACCCCAGCAGGACTTTTGCAAATGAGAACAACTGAGAAAGCTAAAAATATCAGCAGGCTATTAGCTCCAAGCCATAAGCACACACCTGCTGCAGAATCACGCACAGGAGACAGCTGGTATCTGAGGGCCGAATGGCAAAAGCCAGTCAGATGGGGACACTTTTGAGATATAAAAGCTGTGAAGTGCAGGAAGTTTTTAGACTTTCCCTAGAACTATCCACAAACCTAGTTTAAATCTCAAAAATAACAATGGCTCAGACAGAAACGGTTCTGTCTCCTTTACTGGAAAAATAGTCTCCTTTTTCCTTTGCCAGTTTTCTCCTAAAAACCAGAAAAGCTCTCCGCTTATTTGGGTTAGGTCAGTGAACGCAATATGGATAACATATTGTCCGCAATCTACGTTTTCTTCTAAGCACACCTAACTCTAGGATCGTCTGTCTCTTCGTGTCTACGCTCTTGGGAGCCGCTGAGTATGTCAGCCCGAACGTTCCGAATATGTTCGCGTTCCCAGTCTCCACCCTTGTCACCCCAACTATTCCCCCCATCCTTGGAAGCTGGAAGGTGCAGGGAGGAGAGAGTTAGTTTCGGGTGAACCTTGGGTATCACTCCGTGGACCACTGAGCCCCTGTCCTCGGTCACCTGGGATTCCCAGGGCCAGAGACACTGGAGCTCGGCTCCTCCGTAACCGGGGGACCAGGCCAGGGTCCCCTCCGCCCCGACACCTGGGGAACACCTATCCCGCTCAGACCCGGAGATGGGGGCCACGGGCGGCCGTTGCTTCCCCCACCCATCCACAGAACAGACTGTCCACAGCATTCGCTCATCCGCCCAAACTCTCTGGCCGGAACAACTCGGCCTCCCGCAGATCTCTTGCCAGCTTAAACATTACGCCCCCGGCGCCGGGTCGGGCGGATTCCGCGGCGACTGGACTCCGGAGCCAGGCAGGGGCGCTCCGCGGGTGGGGACCGCGACGGCCCTCCCCCTCCCGGTCCCCACCCGGAGAGCTGGCGCCGCGCGGCAGGGGGCCGGCTGGCGGACATCCTGGACAAAACGGGCCAACGGCGGGCCGTCCACCTCACTCCCCAGCGCCTCAAAGAGCTGTCGGGCTTCGGGTCAGGATCCCGCTGACCGGACGTCACCCACTTACAGCTCCAGGCCGCGTAGGTTCCAGCGCCTGGACTGCACAGGAACCGCAACTCCCACAATGCTACGGGGAAACTACAGGTCCCGAAATGCACCGCACCGCGCGCCGGCGCAGTGGGTCCGGGCTGCTTTTCAGCCATGCTGAGCTGAGCGCGCCGGCGCAGTGAGCCGCTGTGGGCCGGGCGTTGGGAGACTGCGCGGGGGTCAAGGGTCACGATGGGCCCGGGCGGGTGCGGCTGTCCAGGCCACAGTTCTGAATTTACCTGGGCTGGGGGAGAAGGCGGCCGGAGAGCTGGGGCTCTCGCGTCCCCTGCTGTCTGCGACTGAGTATCTTTGGCTCCCCAGAAGTTTCCAGACGTGGTGTTCATGTCCTCTGACAACATGCGTGCATTTACCTTTGGGAAAGCGCTTGCTCCCATCCTGGGTTCCCAGACTCCCTCAACAAAGGCTCAGCACGCGCGTAGGGTCTGGGCACGCTCAGCCCCTGCCCCACGGGAGGGCGCAAGCCGGACCCCAAACAAAGACCGGGTGACGACAGGGAATGTCCACGGAGTTCTTTCTGTGGACCGAGGAAACCGGCAAGGGGAGAGGAAGTGGCTGGAGCCAGAAAACGCGCGACTTGGCAGGGACAGAATCTAGATTCGAACCCAGGCGGACTGACTCCAGATCCCACTGTGACGTTCTGCGGTGATGAAATACACGACGTTAGGAACGCAGACGAAGGGTCAAACCGAGGGGGGAGGGTTTAGTTGCGTCGACCAGAGACGTTTTCCCGTAGAAAGGAACAAAGAGCGTTGTCCTGAGCGCTGTGAGGCTCTGGTCTCGCGGAAGTCTCACCCCAGCCTGTAGAAGGACGTAAAAGACCCAATGCACAGATGAAGAAGCGGAGAGCTGAGACTTTAAAGCGATTTCCCAGGGTTTTAAAGCCGGCAAGTGCCACAGCTGGGACCTGGCTCTCAGTAGCGGATGTAAACTCCCATCAGGGCAGCAACGACCATGGGCTCTTTTTCCACCCACTTGTGAACTCTGCTTGTAAGAAGGAAGTGGGGTTCAGATCTTAGGGAGTCAGTCATCCAAGCAGATGGAGCTCTAAAAGCAAACCCGGTGGGGGGTGGGGTGGGGAGCACAGCTAGTTGTTTGAACTGCGGTCTTTAGTTGCCCAGTTAAAAGTGGCCAGCCTGGAATTTGGGGAATCAGTGCTGAAGTGGCAGACGGGGGCAAGTGGTTTCAACAACTGTATACCCAACATGCTTCTAAACATCGGCCACTCCTCCCATCCCCCAAAAGTAAAGTTGGCTGATAACCATCTACCTTGACACTACTTTCTTAGAATACATAAAATGTACTTTCTTAGAAAAGTCTAAATTTCTTTCCCTCCATTTGGTTTCCTGTGTCAAAGATCAAGCCGGGCACCAGTGAAAGCCTTAAGCATAGACTTGACTTTATTCAATAACTACTGCAGTAGAGAAGATGGCCTAGTCTGTTTTGATTTATGCAGTGGTAACAGGGCATTTAAAAAAAAAAATGAGGGGTAGAGTCAGTGGAGCAGAATCAGGGATGTGGATATTTACAAAAACCAGGGGATTACTCATTCTAATCTTGTTAATAGGCACTTATCTGAAATAGAGACTGTCTTTATGACCAGAAGCAATGATGCAGGTTAGAGCAAGGTCCCCCGACTCGGTCGGGAGAGTTACCTCCTTGAATGCTGGCATTTCAGAGAGGAGAGAGTTCTGGGTGGTAAAAGGTTTCTATCCCAAAGAGGGAGAGAAAAGATTTATAATTCCAAGTTTTCTAAAGTGCCTGATCTTAGAGGGGATTCAGGGAGCTGATCTGCTTCTCTCTAGGCTTTGGCTGGAACCAAGAGTTAATTCTCCTGGAAGCTTGTTGAGTTTTCTCAGGCAGACACTCCAAAGGGGTTTGGGGTCCTCTTAGGGATGAGACTTTGAGCTGTTAGAAGCTATGCTAGAGTTTGTTCAAGTCTCTTAGCGTGGAGAGGGGGACAAAATCATTTATGCCAAGTGCCTGCACTGTTTGTAAGCCAAGGTTGAGGCCTCCTTGAGGGCCTAGAAGAGCCTGACCAGAGGTTAGTGATGAAGATAGTCTTGGTCATGTGGTGGAAAGCTTGGATCTCTGCCTGGATCCAGACCCAAAGCCAGGATTTTGTAGACGGGGTGCCCAGTCTGGGCACACTGGGACAAATGTTCTGTGTGCAGTTGCATTTCTGGGTTTCTGATCTGATAAAGGAGGCCACTCTTGCCACATCTGCTCTGGGAATATAAATGGCTTTCAGTAACATTCTATGTAAGGCTTATGTTGGCGTAATTGCAGATTTGTTACTAGGAATCAGATACCTTGTAGATATCTCACTCTGGAGATAGAATCCTTAGGGTCAATGCGAGACATCCTACAACCATGCCTTGAAAAAGGGCTTCTTTTTTGAATTTTGTCTTAGTACCCTGACACTTGAGGTCCTACTCACAATTTCTGTGGTGTGTTTTTTTTTTTTAAGATTTTATTTATTTGACAGAGAGAGAGAGAGAGATCACAAGTAGGCAGAGAGGCAGGCAGAGAGAGAGAGGGAAGCTGGCTCCCGGCTGAGCAGAGAGCCCGATGTGGGGCTCGATCCCAGGAACCTGAGATCATGACCCGAGCCGAAGGCAGAGGCTTTAACCCACTGAGCCACCCAGGCGCCCTACAATTTCTATGTTTTGGCTGAGTAGATGGCGGAGGAGAAAGCCAAGCGGCGGGGGGTGGGGAGGGCACAAAGTCACAACTTCATACATCTATCTTGGCTCCGACTTCCTACTCTCAGCAACTCTGACAGTGTAGACTTAGGCCTGCCCTTCCAACCCTGCTCCAGTTCTGCCCACTCTGTGCTGATCTCCTTTATAACCTGTCATGTTTTATCATCGTGATGTTTCTGTACCTGACCTTCTCTAATGAGTAGGTTGACTCCAGCTCAGGGAGTCTCATTCATCTCCACTCTCCTGGGGTCTGTGCCAGTGGCCCAAGTAGAGTAGACAGGTGCTAAATATTGGTTGATTTAATTAGCAGATGAAGTCACCTAATCTGTGGATTGCATCTGTAATGCAATCTCTGGATGTAATGAACTGTCTAGCTTTTCAGCGGACACGGGTAGTTCACTTTCTGTACCATCAACCCCTTGAAACATAAGTGAAAATAAGTAATTATAAATGGAAGAAGATAAACGGAGTTGAAAGAATATGTTATTTATAAGGCAATGTTACAACTTTTCCTTATTTTTTCTATAGTAACAAGAGCTTTGGAGAGTTAGTTTTCTGGAAAACTTTAAGTGTTAATTTAAAAATAGGTTTCTGGGGTGTGGGTGGCTCAGCCGTTAAGCATCTGTCTTTGGCTCAGGTCATGATCTCAGAGTCCTGGAATCCAGCCCTGCATCAGGCTCCCTGCTAAGCAGGAAACCTCCTTCTCCCTCTCCCACTCACCCTGCTTGTGGTCCCTCTCTCTGTCAAATAAATAAATAAAATCTTTTGAAAAAAAGAAAAATAAAAATGGGTTTCTGTTGTATTGGGTAGTTCTTAAAGATGCTATGTCTCTGTTGGGGACGATTTGCCCTTGTGAAATGTTTGTTCTGTCTTCAGTCTTCCAAATAAGCAAAATATCAGGAAAACAATACCCATAAAGTAACCTGGTGATTCTGTTCATTCATCACTTCAGACTCTGCATTCCTGAATTAATGAATAAACACTCTGATGTCAAGCCAGCGAGCAAGTGATGTGGTTTTGAACCACAGCTTCTGGATAATACAGCTGGGTTATTTATAAAGTGAATTTGTCACATGCAAAGCCGTGTCTTGTAAGAAAGAAGGTTTGTGATTTATTAGTCCCCCCCACCCCGCATCAGCATCAGCACTGCCGTCACACAGGTCCTTCACTTCAAATTTGACTTTATTTTCACTAACTTGGCAACATTTGTCACAGTGGACATTGATTAAAAGGCCATTAACATTGCCCAGAACTTAAAAGAGGTCTTCCACATAAAATATGGCTCCGATGAGCAAGTATAAATCACCAAGAGTAAAATGTCATCTATCTTGGTTGAGCGGCCACATGATCTCCGTGAAAGTTCTCCACAGCAAGCAAGGAACTGAGTGTCTCCTAACCAATGACAACTTGAGTTTGCTCCATGACAGGGCATCTCTTCGGACCCGGATATCAGGTGTTGGCTTTGTGCCTATTCTGTTTCTCAAGGTCCCATTTTGAACCCTGCTGCACCCACGTTCTCGTGGAAGGTGGTCTTTGATTCTTCTAGATTCAAGATTTGATTCTTGTACTTCTCTTGCCAGTCTTCCACGATGTACTGGTGGTAGGGGTCGTTGGAGTGCTCCCGCCGCTTGGATTTCACGGTGCTCACCAGGATCGCTACGATGATGAACGAGAACATTCCGATCATCACCATGAGGTACAGGATGACATAGTAGAAGTTCTCAGCATCGAGTTTGGCTTGTAGGGCCTCTTGCTCAGCTGTTGTGTTCCTGCGCCAGTTGTCCATATAAGTAATAAAAACCCTTTTGAAGACATCTTCCAGGGTCTGTGTCAGGTTGGATAAAGTAGGCATAGCTCCCTCCTGCTGCAATTTGAATGATAAAATAGATGAGCAAGGTGGAGAACACTGACTCTTTCTGCATTTGGCTACTTTAGGGGATAAAGTGAGGGGGAATACAAAGGGAGAGGTAATATTTCTTCTTACCTAGCTGGTGATTGATAGATTGAGTGCATTTTGTTGTTGTTGTGTTGTTGTTCTTTAAGCGTTGCGCATGCAAATTGATGCATTTTTTAGATGCGGGTTACCTTACCATAAAAATTTGATGGAGGGGGTGGCTGGGTGGCTCAGTGTGCTAAGCCTCTGCCTTCGGCTCAGGTCATGGTCTCAGGGTCCTGGGATGGAGATCCACATTGGGCTCCCTGCTGAGCAGGGAGCCTGCTTCCCCCTCTCCCTCTGCCTGCCTCTCTGTCTACTTGTGATCTATCTCTCTCTCTCTCTCTGTCAAATAAATAAAATCTTTTAAAAAAT